ATGAATAGTATTGAAAACAAACGTTTTGTGTATTTATAGAAAGTCTCATAAAAATTGTTTTCATACCTTATATACGGTTAAAAAACTCTTGACGCTTAAAATCTTTATATTATTTTAAAGATTTATTGAGCTTGTTAAATTGTTACAATTTGTAATAAACAAGTTACTTATCTATACTAGGTTATAGCTGATTAAAATATTATTTAGCTTGGTAAATAAACTAGAAAAAAATAATATTATTCTTTAATTAGATTTTATAATAAATATTATAAATGCTCAAGTACAATAAATACTACATAACTATGTGTATTTCCATATAAAGTACTAGCCATATAATTATTTTATAAAAATTCCATTCATAAATAACTGGTATATTATATACAGAGTTCACTGTATTTATAGAAATTGTTTCATTAAAATGTGAAATCCTAATAAATAGTCAAAATGATCCTAAAGGACAGACATGTGTATACTTACTATACATACACAGCCGGGAATAGTATCTCAAAATTCACACAAAGTCTTTGAAAAATGTAATGTCAAGTTTGTACATTTCAATATAATTATATACACTAGCAACTAATTACTAATAGCCACGTTACATAATTACCTAGTTACTAACATGCAAAATGTAAAATGTTAAAATAATTAAATTCAATAATAACTTTTAATTATCACTACCGATTTTAATAAAATTATTTTATATAATGAATCGTGTATTAACTAGTTCATTATATGGAAATACTACTGTATATAAATACATATACGGAATATTCTTAAATATAGAGTACATAAAAACTTTTTGACACAAAAGTCGTTTTCCAAAATACATTACATGTCATTCAAAAAAGTACAATAAAATGCATTCATTCACTAATGATGCTGGTTATTTAAGTAAACGCTACTTTTCCGAGCAATTAATTATGGGATTTATTTTTAAAATAATAAAAATAAATTTTTGTTTGATATGTGAATTAAAATTTCGCTCGTTATTTATATTAAATATATACCCTGGGATTTATATTTAGCACGGATATTTAAAACATGGGAAATTAGTTGATTTAATGGCAAATGTCACCGAAAAATGTCTAATATTTTTGATATTATCATAAATTATGAAATAGTTTTCATTCAACTCTCTCTCTCTCTCTCTATCCTCTCTCTCTCTCTCTCTCTCTAATTAAAAAATATTAAAATTATTTTCATAATAACATATTTTATTAACTAAATACCCACTTAATAATTGTATATATTTCAATATGTTTTTTATTGAAATATGCATTTATTTTAATATACATGCAAGTTTTGTAATAACTTGTTGAAAAAACATTTTTCCTATGAAATTGTACTCTCTCTCTCTCTCTCTCTCTCTCTCTCTCTCTCTTTCAGAGAAAATTCTTGAATTTAAATCAATTTTATATTAATAGTTAACAAATTCTACAGTTTTTTACAGTTTTTATAAAAAATAATTTATAATTAGAGCATATTTTCGGTAAATTATTGCAAAATATAATAATAATTTCACAAATATTTTGTATTATATTTCAAGTAAAATAAGTTATTGAAAGGCATAGCTAAACCATTTTAAACTAAATGTTATGTTTAAAAATATTTTTAATACATACTCTTATATATCACACAAATACTTAATATTTTAAAAGTTTTTTATTTTAAATAATATCTTAATAAAATTATTATTTTTAACACTGATGATTTGTAACATTGACATTTAGTACGCAAAATTATTAACTTAATTATATTGTATTATAAAAACACATTTACACTAAAGGCCGGGTAAAACTAAATTAAAATAATGGTTTGTTTAACAATCAGTAGTATATACACAACACATTCAGTAACACATTAACAGAATATACCACACATTTGTCTATGAATTGTATGTGTTTTATAAGATTACTAATAATTTAATGTTTTATGAAAAAACATTTTTGCCATAAATGTGTTTAAACTGAACGGATGTATGATATAAAAGGCATTACTAATTATTATTAACGTATATCTGTCTGTACATTTATTTATAGTAAAATATACTTTATAATACAATTAATATTTTAGTTTTGTATCTATGTACTAGATAATAATAAAACTACTACAATAAATTAAAAATATATACAATTATTAAGTGGGTATTTAGTTAATAAAATATGTTATTATGAAAATAATTTTAATATTTTTTAATTAGAGAGAGAGAGAGAGAGAGAGGAGAGAGAGAGAGAGAGTACAATTTCATAGGAAAAATGTTTTTTCAACAAGTTATTACAAAACTTGCATGTATATTAAAATAAATGCATATTTCAATAAAAAACATATTGAACTCAATTTCCAGTGAATTATTACATTCACATACAAAGTCAATACACAGACATACACTTCATGAGTAGATTATCAACAAAATTCCACACATCCTATGCCTCCCTTTCCCTTTTGGTTGAAAGTTAACACACTTTCCCATACACTGAATGCCTATCTATACAGTAATTTTAGCTATAAATCACACATAACTTTCCCCATACTTTTCAATCATATACTTATGTAATCAACCGTTTCTACCTAAATAACTGTCCCATATATATACCCCTTCCCTCCCTATCCCTATCGTATTACTCTATTTGTTTGATTTGTTTGTATTATTTTCCACTATTTGTGAGTCAATGCGACAAATGTTTTATAACTTGCTTATCGTTATGAGACTTATTGTATAATCTGTTATGACTTTCACACACAATAAGTGTTTGATTTATTATGATAGACAGACAGACACCCTATTGTTTTACTGATTATCTAGGTCAATTGGCAATGTTTTATATTGCATATAATAGTATACTAAAAATTAAGATAATCCAGATAGCATAAACCTTTAAATTAATCTAGCAAATCTTAAATATAAATTAATTCAAATTGTTTGTATATTAAGTTATTAATAAATTATTTGCTCACTAGGTTGTCTAGGTTTTTATTATTCATACATACATGTATAATGTAAGATTTATCTAAACATACAAAATATGCTATAAATCATAGAGATTTTAGCCATAAGTAGTTTACGTAAAAAATAGTTGACTATTAAAATAGTTTATATGCGTGTTATGTGAATATGATTTGTGTTAATACGGGATTAAAATCATGTGAAAATAGATATTAATTTAATGTGAAGTTTATTTATTTTAAGGTTTATTTTGTAGTGATCTCACAGACTCTCTCTCTCTCTCTTTCTCTCTCTGCCATTCAATCCTTATCCCTATGTTTTAGTCTATAAATAAATGAAATGTTTTAAAAAGTTTTATTAAGTATATTTATATATCTGTCACACATTAATATATAATATTTGTTATTTAAAAGCTCTATTTAAGCAAATACTAAGAATTTAACTAGATTAATTATATATTATTTAAATAGTACATTTAGTCATTATTTCATGCATTACAGTACATACTGTATAGTATTGCAAACCATTTTTAATATTAAAATCATATACAAATAGACCTTGATAATTAACAACTTAGTTCACAAAGGTGCTAATTATATTATAATCTTAAGAATCGATACAAATATCTGATTACAAACTAGTGATGAAAATCATATGCACTTTGAAAATAGTATTCGTATGACACAAATGCACTGAAAATTCAGTACAGAATTACATTCACACAATCTCTCTCTCTCTCTCTCTCTCTCAACTCATTTCGTGTTTAAAAAAATAATCACAAAAATAAAGTTTGCGTTACTATACCAAAAACAACAACTCACATGATATGTGATTGAGAAAAACAAAATATATAAATATAATCTCATAATCTAATCATTATATTAAAATTTGTGTTGGCAACACATAAGCCACGAGTTTGCACCACTATATTACAGTATTGGTCGACTATTGGGTATCATATTTTATTTTAACGCAAAATATGGGCTATATTTAGTATCACAAAATATATTGCAGAGAGAGAGAGAGAGATTAAGTGAGTGTTTGCCTGATATACAAGTATTGGCACAGAATATACTGCCAATAGATAACGAATTGCCAAAAATAATAGCAATTAAAATGAGTTAATTATAATTAAACGCCATATTTCTAGTACTATTCATCGGCTCCAAACACCGTATAGTGTTTACCCTGTACAGTATGTACTGTATATGCAGACAAAATAACCTATGTACATTATTTGCGTAAATAAATATTTGGCAAATAAATTAATTTTATTATAGCAACTATTTTATTATTCGCGATACGATTCTGTATATAGAATACTGGGATTTATATCGACTACAAGTGTTTCACATCCAGAATATTCTGTGAAGTTATTTATGACTCTCTCTCTCTCTCTCTCTCTCTCTCTCTCTTAGAGACTGTAATCTAAATATAAGATCGGATTCACGAAAAATAATTACTTAATTTCAAAAGTATTTAAAAAACTATTTGAATAACTATTTCGCTGATACCGTGGGTGGGGATGCTAGTGAGGGGAACGGTATGCTATACATAACACACGCATACTTTTCTACACACAGAGCTCTGTAACTACGAGCCCATGGATTAAACTATTTTGCTGTAGAAAAAGTCACAGAAATGTCACGCATACCGATGCTATGAGCCAACTGTGCCACACATATGGGAGTGGGGAATGGGAGTTATGGGAAGTACTGTCGGACTATTTTTTGGCAACAGTTAACACTTCGTGTATATATTTGCCTCACACTAACCCATACATCATATATCTATATACCGCGTACACTATGCCGTAATACGTTATGTATAGCCATATATAGTCATCGTAGGAGGACTGGTAGCCCATAGTCGTCGCGAGCGGGTCGTGTGCACAGCCATAGAAAAAGGAGCGCTTCTTAAGAAGGGAACTGTCACTCCGCAGGTTTACATTCAACAATATACATACCAGTGCTCCACACTCGTAGACTACCGGTGCCTCTCAAATAGTGTATTATTTTTAAAGTGATCTTTCGATCGATATATCACACGAAATATGTCTAACATCTGCCTTAAGTGCAACCGAGCGGTCTATGCGGCCGAGGAGATGCTGGCTGGGGGTCTCAAGTGGCACAAGATCTGCTTCAAGTGCAACCTGTGCAACAAGCGCCTGGATTCAGTCAACGTGAACGCCCACGACCAGGCTCTGTACTGCAAGCAATGCTACGCCCGTAAGTTTGGACCCAAGGGCTATGGTTTCGGTGGCGGTGCCGGTGCGCTGGGTATGGATATCGGCGAGCACCTTGGTAATAGGTCGTGCGAGATGGATAATAAGCCTCGCGGGGTCAACGCTTAAAATTATACCCCTTTTAACAGACACCCCCTAACACCACAAACACCCCCCGACCGATACACTACATAACATATATATTATTATTATTATTATTATAAAATGTATTAAACACCTATTATTATTATTATAACACGTATAATTATTGTTATTATTATGATTTAATATATAAGTACGATTATTATAATTACGATATGATTTTCCAACCACAAAATGTCAGTTAATTATTATAAGTCCAGCATGATAATATCGGTAATGAACACATGTTTAAATTATTATTATTTCGTATGACTATTATTTTGATTATATCATATATAATGTACTATAAAATCAAGTATAAATATATATAAACGTGCAAGCACACAGAATATTCTGTTGATTTAAAATAAATCATGTTATTTTAAAAATACTATGAACACAATAAATTATGTTTAATTTCAAAAAATGTGTTTTGTTGTGTGTGTTTTTTAATTTTATTTAAGGTTTATTTAATTTTAATAATTATCCTTGATTATAAAAATTTTATGTTAATTAATTATACTATTTAATATGTCTAAATACGAATTATGATTATTATTATTATATAACTAGCATTGAATACAATGAATAAGATTTATAATAGTGAATGAATTGTGTGTTTAGACACAGAATCGCAATGAATTTAATTTAAATGTGAATTTTATGCGTGACTTGTATTCACACAATATTAACACAATTATATAACTTATTATCAAAAATATATTATAATCACATTATATAAAAATAATTTTGTTTCATAAATGAAAACCTAAATATTAAATAATATTAATGTTTTGCAAAAAACAATTGTTGAGAAAACGAGACGAGACTTAAAATATCAATAAAATTATGTTATTATTATAATATTAAAAATATAGCTGTATTTTTAAACTATCGATAATTATTATATAATATTTATATTTAATCTAAATTAATATATTTTAAAATAATTCAATTTTGAATGCTTTAATTTAGTAAATTAAACAGTTTAATATAATTAGTTAGCTAGATAGATAAATTGTAAGTAATTCATATATCACAACACTACTTTTTAGTTTATCATTATAAATTCATTTACAAAACTAATTATAAAACTAAAAACTAGTGTTGTGAGATTATGTACAGTATTATTTTTGTAAAAGTGTTTCAACCCTAATATACTAGAAATCTGATAATATACTTATCTGCCTAAAATAAATGGTACTGTATATAAAATTACCAATGTAAATGTAGCTAGTAAATTATTGATTAAGTATACCTCCTACAGTATATGAGTTATTTACTCAACACAGAATTTTTATGCATTAAATAATAATTATTAAACTAATTTTTAATTTATTTAAATTATTGTCAGTAAGAATTGGTAACCCCTATAAAGTCTTGCAAAACATATTTCCTAAATATGCTTAAGTTTATAATTATTTTTAGATTAAACAGTTTTTTAGTTTCTATTTCTATCTTATGATACTTTTAACAGTTTTAATATACACCTGGATTATTACATTTTAAGTACTAGCTAACTTATAAAAAAG